CTGATCAAGGTTTATCCTGACTTTTGCACAATGTCAGCTTGACGTTTGCACAATGTCAGCTGGGCTTGGCTCCAGCCCCTTGGCATCTCTTAAATGGATGGATGTATGGATAGATGAATACTGTCATTACAATCAACTCTGAATTTCAATATGCTGATCTGTTACTGTTTCTGTTTCTTTGTGTTCAAAATCAAACTATTGAGTCAATTTCCTTAGTTGTATTGGACATTTATATTTGCAACCAGGGGTGCTCTGTCTTACTGGCTAAATTAACTTAACTAAATATGTTTGAGAGTTAAAGTTTAAGTTACAGCCACACTGTGTAAAACAAATCCACAAAATACACGTCTAAATATTGATTTTAATTAAATCAACTGAATCCTCTTCCTTCAAATGGAGGTTCATGTAATAATTGATTTTGATTGAACGGTGTGAAAACATTTAGTTATTTATCTTCATAAAAGACTTCTCATTAAGACATTTACACAACTATTGTACTAAATACTAAATATGGACGTTGGAAGCCCAATGGGACCTTGGTCCTCCATACAGCATGAGAGGCCAGGGCTGAGACCATGCTAGAATTACCCTGAGGCAAAGGCTGAGCAGCTATAAGGCAGGAACAATCTGTGTAGACACTGCACATGTGTGTGTGTGAAAAGTTACAAAGGAAATGATTTATAAAGCGAACGGGAGATGGCTGGCAGAGTTCATAGGAACAGTAAGTCCCTGAAGGATGTGGGGATTTGGCAGATGGACTGAGATGTGAGAAAAAACATCTTTTAGGACGGAGCAGAGAGTGAATTCAGTCACACGTAGACAGAAAATTAGGAGTAAGGACTGGAGTAGGATTTAGAAAAGAGAAAAAAAGATAAAGGGGCAGGAAGCTGGAGAGACAAACAGAGAGATGGATTGAGACGAGCTGGATACAGACAACATCCAGAGGAAACGAGCTCAATAGCAAACAAAACAGGACTGCAGCTACATTCAGAAAATGCGGGAGAGCTTGGAGTACAACGTGGCCCTCTCGTTATCTAAGTGGTGTAAATTAGAATCTGAAAAGAGGGAGTTTGCTGACAGGTTGTGACATGGATCGGAGGAGGGGACTGGGGGATAACTTGGATACTGATAAACAGGAAACTGGAAGCACAAACAAGGTTGCTGTCTTGCTTTCTACCTTATTTGGACATTGTTTCAGCTGCAAGATCAGCAGCAGACAAGTGTGCAGTGATAAAAAACGATCTAGCTCACGATGAAAAGGCAAAAATGTCCAAAAACCTAATTACAGGTTGCCTTTTGATGTTGAATGAGAGTCACCAAGCCTGCCTCAGAGAAAATTGATTCCAACTGCAAGCATTTTTACAGATCTTTAATAATGATCCCTGACAAATGTTTCTTCTTTTCTTCCAAAATTGTTCCAGAATATGTTTCTTACTTGTGTCCACAGGTGAATTAAACCCCCCTAAAAAGGAAAGGTGCTTCATTTTTTTGGCCACTATCTCCATCCCACCTGCACTTCCTCCTGCTCCTATTCCTCAGACACTACAGACTAGTACCCAGGCTCACCTGTCCAAAGTAACCTTGGGGGAGACTGGAGGGGGTCCTCGTTCACAAAGAAAAGCTGGAATGAGAAAAAAGAAAGACCGTTACTTTCTAGTCATTCTTGAAAGTGACCAGGATCACATTATTTCATGTGCAACTAGTCCCCTTATGAAACCACAAAAGGTTTAGCACCAAAGTGCACACACTCATACATTTCAGTCATACCTCATTTTTCCATCAGTTATTCTCTGACAAATCATGATAACACAATGTTAAAGAGAATTGGGAAAAAAATCTGGATCCATCCCCTGATCCACATCTGCACTAATTTTCAATGGGTTATTCCCCTTACCCATACTGCATCCTTTCCTAGTTTTGTGGTAATCCATCCAGAAACAAAAATGGCAAAAATCCCTTCTTCTCGCTCCCACAACCATCTGTGAGGATTGTTATTGGATGGACTAACTGCTGTGTTAGATGGCCACATACTCCAGTACGACTTGGCAGAGTTAAGCTCAGTTGTCTGTGACGGACATGGTCCGAGAAGCCCCCTGTTATAAATGTGCATGCACTACAACAAAAATACAATCAAGCAATGAATGCCTCATTGTAAACTTTATTTTTTTCCATCCTTTGTTTTCTCTACAGTTTGACATGTCCTAATTCCGTATGCACTGCTGCCAACTCCACAGTTTGCCAATAGGGAGGGAGTAGACACACACCAACACCATATGTGTATGATCGAACATCTTTAAATTGGTCATTTGCTGTAGAGACAATAGAAAGACTCACAGTGTTTGCTCCATATTTTAAAGAACAAATCAAGGATAACCTTTAGTCAATATGCAATATCATTTATATTGGAGCATTTTGCTTCCCGTGCTTAGAGTGGCTTCGTAGTGAGTGCTGAAATTGTGTAAATTAAACAAAAATATTGTTTGCATGTATTTTCATGCATGAAAATACATGCAAAATGAGTAGTGTTGCATCATGGCAACCTCATTTAAAACATTTGTTGCATATTAAATGCAAAATTGTGAAATCAGATTATCTCATAAAAAGAAGGTTTCAATCATTTGCCTTTCTCTTAGATTTGTGAAGATCTAAAATATTCCAGGCTACATGCATTAGGACAAGAAAACATAGCTAACATTAGACATTAGGAATTAAAGGCCAATACAGAGCCGAGGTCAGTTGGATCTCATATTTGAAATGGATGGATGTGCAAAAATTATAGTGGTACATTAAGTGTTGGATCAGCATTAATATGTGAAACACGAGTACAAGTCAAAAATTCCAATACATCACTCTTTACCAACAACACAGTCTCTGAGCTCATCAGATATCGAGAGGGAATTTGCCTCTTGGGGCAACAAACAATATTTTGGTTCTTCTGGTGTAGATAGCAGATACAGGTCTAGACTCGTCCATTCACTGTACACTGTTTGGAGTCTGACTAGTTTGTTTTAAGACACAAAGATTCTCCACACAGATCACAAACAGTGATACCTTATGTAGGTGTTTTAGTGTTAGTGGTTCATCTCTACTAATTGCAGATGCTGATAGTCGGTGCATTTCAGTCAATGTGTCCCACCTCTCAACATGCACTGTTTACCCAAAGCCTGCTCAAATGTGATTGGTAAAAATAGACACAGAAACCAGAAAGCCTCTAGCCCACAAAATGTTGTCCTTTGTCACAGATTCTGCATAATAACATGCAGAATGTGTTTATTCCTCCATCAGTAAAAGAGAATGAGTCAAACACTTGGCTGTATAGCTCATCGTCCAACTTGTTATAATGTTCACATCTTTAATGAGCGGGCAAAACAATCAGCTCTAAATCACACACGCACACAGGCACACACATCTCTTTGAGGAATCAAGAACACAAACACACAGTCACATCTGGATAACATCCCCTTCTTTTTTCCACAAAGAACCCCAACAAAAGAGTGAGCTCGGAGCAGTTTTCACCAACATACAGAATGGTTGAAACTGGAGCAAGAATAATAAGAGCTGCTGGAAGTTTAGATGTGAATTAGAAAAAAGAGCAGCGGGCTCCCCTGCTTTGTGACTGAAATGGAGAACATCTTCCTTCCCTTTCAAATATGAGTCCCACAGAGTTGAGGGGGGCTGAACTGCTCACCATCCCAGCACTGACCCAGCGAGGCCTTTGATACCTCAGACACCTGGAAACCCAAGGGAAGACACGTGCACACACATGCACACACTGACCTCCAACAGTTTGAGAAAAGAAAACATGGTGCTGAAGGCCTTCAGGCAATTCCTTTCCGAGAAAAACAAAGTAAAAGACAAAGGAGTGATTCATCAGGAAAGAGGGGTAAACAATAAGACAAGGATTCATCACGAGAAATAGTTGAACTCATTGTATAAGACAACAAAGAGGATATAGAATCCCTGACAATATGATGAGAATATTTAAGTTTTGTATTTAAAAGTGTGCGAAAAACCTCACGCTCTCTACTCCCCGTGTGCTCTACAGTTCTCAGGACTTGTTTTGCAGTGGAATATACTGTGTAGACAAACACACACACATGCATGCACAATAAACACCGGCTTGTCCACACACACGTCATCAATGTTAGCGTGAGTGAGTAATTGTTTCTACCTGTGGCGATTTCAAGTGAGTGTTTGATGAAGGCTGGAGCTCCATGCTTGGCAGCATATGAGAGAGCTAATGGCCGAGAGCTAATGGCTGCCGATTGTGCTTGCGTGGCTTTCTCTCTCGATTGGCGCTAATATTTCACAGAGTTTCAGGCTGGAGGGGTTTAGATGGAGAAGATAAAATTTCACATCGTACCACATGCTGCCCTTCTGCACTACAGTAGAGGCCTGAGTTTTCTTTGCTTTAAAGGATAGTCATTAGCGGCTGGTCTTGTGCTCCCTGAAAAACAAACGCTGGCTTTCTCAACTCTAATCTGCAGAATCACTACAGGGTGCCGACTTTTAACATTGACGATCAAAACATAAGAATTACTGCTCTCAGATATTGTTTTTAGAAATGATGAAAAAGGCTTACGCTTAAAAGAAATTTTCAGATTTGTTTTTTTTTTTAACCTAATGGTAATTTTAAGATGTCAAAGTGCTGATTAAGCCCTTTTGATTTAAATGATGCTTACACTTATAAGAGCTGTAGAGGTCACTGGTTCTCATCAACAGCCGTGATCACTGGACATCTGTTCATATGGTCATTTCAGCAAGGACTGCACATCTGCTCAGCTGTGATCTACAGTAAGTGTATCAATGCCAAATGAAAGGACACTCATGTACACGGCGTGTTGCTACACTGACTGTACTGACCTACTAACCAGCTGCAGAAGGCACCTGCACACAGATTCACCTTGGCTGTACACTGTGTTGCATTGAATGATGACAGTATGCCCCTGCAATGATGCACTTCGACTCCAAGTTGTGTACTAATCAAACACACTAAGCATCTAATCTGACCTCGCTGAAAAACAAACAAAGGAATGAAAGCAGCTCTGTCTTTCCCTCTGCTCCATTCCCTGAGGTCGGTCTGTTCAGCACATTTCTTGTGCCACAATATGCTGGCCCAGCACTTTCTCTTTTTTTTCTTTTTTTTTTACCAGGGGCTATTTTTATCATGCTACACATTTGCATCACAAAAGGAGGCAGGCCCCATAACTTAAAGAAGAGGGAGTGGCCTGGATAAAAGCTAAGTAAAAACTCTTCAAAGCTGGACTTGTCTGTTAAAAGCTGCAGTCAACATGGTGTATGGATATTTTGGTTGTATTAGCAGCTCTGGCATGAGTTCTCTGGGCAGTGTGTGGCTCATAGGGGGGGTGTGAGGGGGTAAGACGAGGGACTAACCCCGCATTTCTATTTTAGACCCTTTGAAGATGAAGATATGACATGTGCTCAGTTGTGTGCTTGAGCCAGGAAGACTTCCTGGATTTCTGTCTGATTCACTTCAAAGATCAACAGGATGCACCGATGGACTCCTCGCACCTGGATCACGCAACAGGAAGGCACATATCCATCCTCTGAATTCAAACCATGCAAGGAGACACACACTCTCACCAATGTTCACCTCTGTTCTTCAACTCTGCAGGATTATTTATTATAACACGTGTTGTAGCTTCTCCAAACACACGCTTAGATTGCCATTAGTCATTTGTGCAGCTGCATGATGTGGCCCACAGGGGGTCGGGGGGGGGGTCTCCTGGGGCTCTTTTCACATGAAAGTTACATGTGAGAGTTTCACTTATATCTGCTTCCCCAGCTCCGTAAAAGACAACTCATCTGTTCATAATAATAGCGTCAAATGAGGAGGAAGATAATAATATGCAAGGATATTTATCTATTAATTGTAGGGATATTGTGAATGAGCATGGAGATAAGCACGGTCAGTGTGTAGGTTTTTATTGTTCCCAGTGGTGTGGTGACTTACGTAGTGTAGAGGTATATGTGAGGAGAGAACTGGGATGGGGCAGAGGGCTCAGACGATAAGAGGTAATTCTATCCTCCTCAGGGGACATCTTAGTAACCACCTGCAAGGTAAACATAATAGCTTCAGTAAGTGTCTTTGGCCCTGCTCAGACCTGATATTAACATCTATCCTGAGAGATCCAATCACAAGTGGACAGCTCTAAGTACGTCTGTTCCCAGCTGGCATTAAAATGCGTCCTCAATGTGTCTCCTGTGACCATGTGCGATCGGATCTCACGTCCCAGTCTAAATGCAAATACACACATACATCATTTCTGTTTACAAAGACCAAATTATGTTGTTTTTAGCCAGTCCGACTAGATGGATGGATCAGTTGTCAATGTCTGCTGGTGTGACAGGGAGAGCAGCACAATCAAATAAAATCTTAATCATTAGGGAAAAATAAAACCAAACTCATCACATGGTGGTCAGAGCTGATATTGTGGTGGTGGCCACAAATAAATCAAAAACACTGAGAAGTGTTTAAAAACGTTTTTGTTCATTGGGAAAAAGCTGAGACGTCAGTCCCTCATATGTTCCAGACCACCTCCAAATGTGGTCTGTGTAATTGGATCTCAAAAGTATCCTCCACCCTGAACTGGTATCAACAGCACAAGTGGTCAGCGATAAGCTCAGGTCTGAACACATCTAAATGCATCCTGAGATCCGATCACACAATATCATTCTGAGGTGGTCTGGGATGCATGTTCACATACTTTTCATTGTGTGAATGCAAATGGGTCCTCGCCCAAATATAGAGGACCACCTTCTCTTTTTACACTTCTGGCTTGTGTGGTCACAATATCAACACTGACCACCACGTAATGACAGACATTTTTTTAATTGATAAAATCTTTCTTCATAGCTGCATGCATTCATTCATTCAGTCCCTCCTGACTCCTCTTGCTCTCTTCTATCACTCATGCAAGCATACCAACACACACACACACATATTGTCATCAGACACATCTGTAAACTCATCCTGGATAAAAACAATTTCATTCGGTCTTTGCCAACTTAAATGACCTACATGATTATTTGCATAGAGCTGGGGGTAGTGAGATCCAATCACACATCGTCGCAGGATGTATTTTAATGCCAAGTGTGAACAGACAAAATTAGAGCACACACACACATACACATTACCTGAGTAATGCTTATGTCACTGAGACATTGGTGCCCTCTACCCATGCTGCTGGTTGTAGGTCGTCCTCCAGTCACATCAGCGGTGGCTCTTGACTCTCTGTTGCTCAGGAATGTTATAATAATAAGTCTACAAATACATCAGATATGAACATGCAAAATGTGGAAACAGCCCCACAAATGTGAGATGAGCCTTTCTTAAAGGTAAGTCCTGTTTTCATGTTCACCTTAAATGATTCCTTCCAGTGCTTCGGAAGAGCACTTACATAACATTTTTATAAACAGGACATTACTTTGTCCTAATCTCACTCCCCATGTCCTTACTACAACCCCCTCCAGGTCCATTAACGCATTAAACCTCCTTATGTGGGTCATCTCGCTTTCTTCACAAAACAGCTCTTTACAGTCCTAAGCACCCCCTCCCCACACACACCCCCATTGTGTGCACATACACACATACAGATGGGACACTAACCCCTTTCTGTCACTAGGATTTAATCAACAGTAGAGAGGAACGCTCAGAAAAAAGGGAGAACAGCAACATCTAAAGGCAACTCAGCGGGGGAGGGCTCAGAGCTTCTTAATGTCTCTTTTGCTCACTTCAGCTTTGAAATATAAACCAACTTTTAACACAACAGATTTGTAAAAAAAAAAGAAAAGAACACAGACCATCAACCATCCTGTCTTATGAGACAAAAACATTTAGAATAAGGACAAAAAGTTTTAGTTAAATCTCACTCCAATCCAAAATATATGACATGGCAACACCAGTGGAGAAAATCACACACAGAGCGATACACATAACAAGAGCTTCTGAAACTGAGCATCACATTTTCAGACTCTCACAGACTGAGGTGTCAGCTTTTACTGAATAATTGTGTGTGTGTGTGTGTGTGTGTGTGTGTGTGTGTGTGTGTGTGTGTGTGTGCGTGCGTGCGTGCGTGCGTGCGTTGACATCCTGGTTCCACTCTGATCCAGCCCTGTCACATAGGGTGATGCCACAGAGCTCTCAGATCCACATGACCTCCCCTGAAGGGCAAACTTGCCGATGGAGGAGATCATAGTCAAGGGTAGAATTTTTAATTAAGTAGCCAGCTCTTCCAGTCAGCTTCAGCTGACAGTTAGACCTTCCAACATCCTCATTAACCATTTAACTGAATGGGAGGGAATTGGGGCAAAGACGCAGTTTTGCATGGGAAAAAGCACTCACAGGCATACAGCACCTGGTCCATAAATAGAGGCAGCATGCTGGGATGAGTGCTTACTAACATGACAAGCATCTACTGCCCATGAGTGTATACGCAAATGATGGGAGACTGTAACTGGGCTGTAAAGCACCATGGGCCCAGTCTAACAGCCCTGTCTCCCACAGCCTTCAGCCACCTCTGTTGCTCAAAGCTTCCTCTTAAAAGCATCCCCCATAATGTAAACAGACTGGAGCCAGAGCAGTTTGACAACACAACGCTGACCCATTTAAATTTAGATCCTAACCATGTTAGTTATTTTTAAATCTTTTCTAGTCAAGTTTAATCACTTTCAGTTCATTCAGCCCCAAAAAACACAAATCACAAATTTGCCTCAATGGGCTCTACAATCTTAACATCACTTGTTATCCTCTTTCCAGAGACACTTTATATACTTACATGGAAATGGTATGATGCCTCCAATTTATGTAAATTAATTCAAAACAGTTATTTAGGTAGTATTGAGGAATTGCTGAGATTTATTACATACATACCATACAATAATGTAACAGTGAAAAACTATTCTTTTCCTCCGCAATGTAAGACAATAGATGTAGTAACAAAATGGAAAAAGTTGATACCTGAAAACATGTATGATACCATTTGTACAGTATTCAAGTCTGTTCAGTACTTGAGTAAATATACTATGCAGCCACTGATTGTAACCGAAAGTGGTGACAAAATACTGTTAGCAGAAAAAACTTGAATGAATAAACGCAACAGTAAAAATACTTCTTAAATATTTCTGGAAGAACATTAACTGGCACATTTTTTATCTTTGTACCATTTGCACAAATCACCTCACAGTATTCTCTGTGTGTGTTTACATACCTTCTATGAAATGTAACTTCTGCCTACAACAGATGAACACAAGTCTGTGTTTACCTCAACACTTTGGGATCCCTTGCCAATACAACCCTATTATCCTAAGCCCATTTAGGATCACAGTAAACAGCTGGCATCAGTCTGATAGCTGTTCCGTCACAAATAAACAAAAACAGCCAGCTGCCATCTTCCCCTGGCCTCGCAGCTCGGAGCCACGTCAGGGAATGGAATATGGGCTAGAGCAGTGAGGATATACGCTCGATGACAGTAGGAAACGTTATGTTACAGACCTGGAAGTGAGTATGGATGAACTGCCTGAGGAAGAATGAGCAGAAAAGGGCTCTTTTTCCCTGTGTCTAGTGTGCCCCCTCTGGACCTAAGAGGAATAACAGCAAGTTTTAACTCATCTGTTCTCTCTTCTGCTTAAAAATTAATTTCAAGTTAAAATTACATAAGGAAAATTGTATCTATAGTGACCAGTCTTCTTGTGCTTATAGTCTTAAAGACTGTTGACTAAATCACATCAATAATATCTTGCCTCACCCTGGCTTTAGTTTGTAGTTTTCCATTTACTGCTTGGATCTTTCGTTGTTTCTTACAGTAGGCAATCCAGGTTTCCATGTTGAAGCCATAGTTAAAGTAATCTGAGATGTCACTACCTGAAACCAGAGCACAGCATAGTAAAGACAGGTTTTAATAGTTCATGCGTACACAGTAGAAGTGAATGAGTTTAGACAGAAGGAACAACATCTACAGACAATAGCCACTACTTACCATTTTTCTTCCATGGCTTTTCCTCTGGAGACTCAGACGCAGTGTTCAGTACTGATGTTTCGTTGATATTATGAAGTGCATCAACATCTATTTTTATTTTAGCACCAACTGTAAAACATTTGACAGGATTCAACATCTGAAAAGATTTTAATATATTTTCACATCATATGATTAATCATGTCATGTATTTTGTTGTGTATCTTTGCTATTCATCTCAAAGCCAATTGAGTTTATCCTTGTCATATGAATTGTGCTGTGTAAATTAGAGATGTTACTATAGCCTTATTTCCCTTCCTGATACCGATATCTTAACTTTGCATGTTGGCCAATACTGACTATAGATCAGGCACCAGTGTATCTAAAAAATATATCAACTTATATAACGTATCGTATCACCTGTATGCTACTAACCCTATGGAAGAGATGTGTTCTGTCATTGTTGTATGGCCTGGCTCAAATTAAACCCTTTGTAAAACAAATAAACACAGAGAATATATGCATTATAACTTCTGTTAGTCGCTAGTTTGAGTCTCTGTCCTGCTACAGCTAAAACATATTTTTGTTAAAATAGCAACAAATGAATAAATCTAAGAATTAAAAAAAATATTTATTTAAAATAACTTGAAACTGAAGTCTTGCATACAGTACAGGTCACCATTTTACTTGTGTGGCATTCCAGTGTAAAATGTTATTGTTGACATTTTAGCAAGCGCAGGGTAACGCTACACTACCAGAAATCTGTTCTTCTTCACTGCTCTAAAACAGCTACTTGCAAGTAGCAGTACATGGCTGTTTTGATATTGGGGTGGTGCATAGATTTGTGTACTTGATGATGCCAGATGTGGCATTTTCAGCAGCATTGCAGGCATTTCCCATGCTAGTAGCCGAACATGTTTAATGTAAATGAACTGGAATTGAAAATTGAAATGAGATGTCGTAGTGAAGGTAATAAGCATGTGGTCAACTAATGATGGAGGATTTAGGAATTTGCAAAAGAAGGTGCCATATTGTCCCAGGTTGATCAGGAAGGATCTGTATTTCAAATAGATTCATATAATGAGGAGGTTAAAGTGTGATTTTTGTTTTTTTATACAGAAAAAAAGAACATTGTGTGTTACATTAAGAAATATAAAAGCATCCCTGGTCTTTTAGTGTTTGTGCTTGTGATGCGTTATGTGTCATCTTGTCCTCTGAGTCATCCTCAAAAGCTTTGCAGGAGCACTTACTGCATTTACCAACTGCATGTGTCCTCCTTTCAGCATTAATGTTCAGATACACAGGTGAGATCTTAGAGCTGCAAGAAAAACGTGGATTATCAACACGAGTACCATCATGACGTAAACACTGAGAAACAACATTATCCTGCCTTAGTGCTGATAACATCATTTCAATTGCTGTCTTAAATGACAAAAAATTATGAAAACATTTAGTAAATTCCTGGCACAATTATTTTTTACCCAACAAGCAAACAAACAGCTTGAAAATTCAATGTTGTTTGTGTAAACATGGATAGTTTACACTCTCATAAGCAAAGCTGCATAAAAAGCAGAATAAACACAACAATAATATACACTTGTATGTAAAATAAACAAATTTTTTATTTGGCCGTTGTTGTAACAAAAATAATATGCACAAAAATGTACACAATGCTTATACTGTGATCACATTGCATTCCATTATCTAAACTGCTTATCCTTTGTGGTTGTGAGGGAAGGGGGAATAGAGCCAATCTGAGCAGACACTGGGCGAGAGGAGGAGTTCAGTGCATCACTCAGACTACTCTCTTTTCAAGCACAATCACAGACTGAAGGTCCACTCTCACTGATTCTTCAGAGATTGACTTTATGTTCTTGAAAAAAAAAAGTTCCATAACAAAACCCCATATAGCCACCTGAAGTGGCATACATTTATCATTATAGTATCTTTTGGTCTTAATCTTTTGCTTAAATGCAGCATAATAATTCTGCAGTCTGTCTGCATGTAGAATGCTCAAGAACTGTTCATCTTGTCAACTAGTTCAATGTTCAATTTGGTGCAATTAGGGCATGTGATTCCTTCAATGTTCAAAACCTTCAACTAAATAGGTTTCCAGCACGCTGTAGCAGCAACGGCTGGGAAACATCAACTTCAATGATGTTGTTGATCATGACAACAGCATAATTACGTACCCACCTTCAAACAGGTATGTTTAGGATTGGCACTACATTAGTATAATATGCTTCAACAATCTTGTGGTGGGTCATTCTAACCATCAGACATCAGGGGCTTTAAGTCACAAAATGACTTAACTCACCTAAAAAAACAAGACACTTGTTAAAAGCTGTTGTGTATGTTACAGTAACTTACTGTTATGGGCCAGTTATGTTATTTATTCTGAGGAGAAGAGCCTAGAAGATGCAGGCATCAGATACCAATGGTGCTCCAATCGTGTGATTGCTTACAACCACATTTTCCAGCTCAAAAATAAACACTCCTCGCCTGGCAGCAGATTTAATGAGCATCAAAATACTTCTCCACATGACTGGCTGCACATTTCAGGCAGATCACAGGGTGCTGTCACACATGCATTGTGCAGCTATAATGTTCACTGTCATTATTGCACTGTGAAAAGCCTATTCTATCTGAGTGCTTGATTACAGCAATGAAGTTGGTTTTAAGCGGAAATGAGCACAACCACAGTTCATTTAGAATTTATTAACTACTCACTGTTATTAATGGCCTGTCAAACTCTTCTTGTCTTAAACTTAATAATATGTCTTCCATCAAAAAAGGAGAAGGATTAATGAGTTTTGTGAAATAACTGCGACGACAGTCTCATATTGAATTATGTCATAATTTCCTTGTGGTCATGGTGAGGTCTATAATATTACTTTTTGACGCAGGTCCTGATGTTAAATAATGTGTGTGTGTGTGTGTGTGTGTGTGTGTGCATGCACGTGTGCGTGGATGAGGATGTGGCTTTCCTGTATGGAACACAATATGAGGATATTAGCCAAAGGTAGAAGGAAAGGATGGAAAAAAGGAGAAACAAGCTCTTTGAGGCCTTCACTGGTTTTGTTTTGAGGACAAAGGGGAGCTGGGGTGGATCTGAGGTGTGTCAGAATCAGAAAAGTCTTTAGGCTTTTCTAATAAACTTACCTGGATGCAATTTGAATGTTTTCTTTTCCTTCCCTGTCCTTGCTCTCTTTGGTATACATGTCATAAATCACTGAAAGAAACAAAATCAACGTTGCTTAATCTGAATATTTAACTTCTGTATTGTGTGCTACATTCTCCACCCAAGGCAAATACACAGTTAGCCGTTTATTAGGTCCAGATCCACTACAATGAATGCAGTCTAACACAGGAGACCTGCAATCAGTCATATTGTTCCAGATACACTGAAACAGTTTGAGGTGTTTATTAAACTGTGTGATCATTTTGGAGGATGTGGTGGTGCTCTTGAACTGCAGACTGTTATTGTTATTTACTGTAACACACCCTCACTCATACAAATGGACATGTCTGTTTATTATAATGTAGTTCAATAACAACACAGACCACATCTGTTAAAACTGAAAAATTGAAATCAGCACCTCTGTGAAACCTAAACCGAACATCAGGGTTTATTGCAGGAGCACAGACAGCATTAGTTTTAGCTAGGTGTACCTCAGTATATGTTTCTAATGACAATGGAGAGAGAACGTGTTGGTTGGTGACTGTTAAGACTTACACTGATATAATTCTCCTTCTTCATCTTCAACTTTATCGGCGTTAACTTCAGAGTCGGACTCCGAAGACATTTTGAAATAAAAACAGGTAATTTTAAATGGTGAAAAGTGTCGTATTGGGAAACAGGAGAGATGGATCCATAGCCACAGTCTGACAGTTCAACTGGTTTCTATGGCAGCATCAAGCTCATCATGCTGGGTTAGCCAACAGTTAAATCAAGCTAACTGATAATTGTTGGTAACAATTAATAACTGCTGACATAGAATGTGTGGATATGTTTTCAGAAATGAATGTTCTGAAGTATTCCTCACCCTAACTGTAATAATGACAATAAATCACAGAGACCCAGTACTTTATATTTATTTCAAAATAATCATTGATGTCTCTTTAATGTTAAAACTTCTTCAGCGCATCTTGGCAGTTCCTCTCTGGATGCTGCTTATCCCCATAGCAACGAGTCAGCGCTTCGGTGACGCGTTTATGCTGCGACGCGCGCCACGTCACCTTTGAGAGACTCGTGTGTTTGTTTTGCTGCTGCTCCGCAGATGACAGCTCTAAGCTTCCGCTTCGTGTAGCTGACACCGGTAACCGGCAGGATGCTGACCGCGGAGGACTTCTCCCGCTTCCCGCTCCTCATGTGGGACAAAGTGCTGCCAAAGGTGAAGAAGGCGGTGGTGTTTATGGATGACGAGTGCGCGGAGGCTCTCCACTGGAGCGGAGGGGCTGCCGCCTTGTTGGAGGCAGGAGCCAGAAACCTGAGGCAGTTCTCCAGCTTCGAAGCCTGCGGTGCCAACGAGCCGAAAGCCGTGTTTGTCGTGAGCACGCTGCTGAAGGGGAGGACCGTGGATGTCATTAAAGACGTCCTCTCCCTCAGCCACTTCCAGTACTGCGTCGTCTTCACCACCGTGGCTCACTCCGTTCACCTGCTCGCCAATAAGGTGACCGCTGAACTGGAGGGGAACCCTGTGTTTGAGCAGTTTGAGGAGAAGCTGTGCGAGTGGATGGGCAACATGAACTACACAGCTGAAGTCATGCACGTGCCGGTGGTGTTCGCACCCGTGTCACAGCAGCTACTCCTCACTCCCATGTTCGCTCACCTGTTTCCCCTGCTCCCCCCTGACCTGGAGACGATCAATGAAAAACGAGCAGAGAAGAAGAGATTTGGGAGCCTGGGCGATGTAGACATGCACTCCCTCCCTGCTGAGCTGCAGATTGAAATCAAATCCTTGACTTCAGTGTTAAATGCGATGTTTGAGGCCACGGGCACCAAGGAGGAGAGCTTCTCTGTAGGTCCCATGAGCCGCATCATAGCAGGAGAACTGGCCAGTCACCCTCAAGCAAAGAATCGAAGGAAAACAGCCTCTAATAAAGCGTCGATCATCTTTGTGGATCGAACAATGGATCTCACAGGTGAAATCTCCCTGAACTTTGGTCCCATCAATCTTAAACCTTATAAACACATCACAATCAAACACGTTGTGGCCTTATTTATCATAAGCAAATCAAATTAAGCCCATATTCACATTTTCCCTCACAGGGCTTTACAAGGTGCAACATGCTCTGCCGGTAACTCTCAAAAAGTGTGAGAAAAAAATACCAAAAAAACCTTTTAACAGGGAATAAAACCTCAGAGAGTCACAAGTGAGGGATCTCTCTCCCAAGATGGACAGAAGTGCAATTGATACCATGTGTATTAGAGCTCAACAAAATAACAACATGAGAAAAGACATGATAAATCTACAAAAAAGAGGGACATGTGTATGTATACAGATGTTGATATTTTTCCTCTAGTTATCTGTTTTTTTAAATTCCTTATGTCTTGGTTTTCAGGAGCTGTTGGTCACCATGGTGACAACCTGGCAGAGAAGATTCTGACCGTGCTCAAACCCTTACCTGGTCATGTGACAGATGTACAGGTGGATATGCTGGAGCTCACCAGTCTGCAGCGCACCCCTCACTCCCAAAACACCCTGGCCCCCGGCTGTCTCGCACAACACCAGTGAGTTCATCTCTACTGTCCATATTCTAGAATGTTCATTCATTTCAGTAGCTGCCATTTTTGATAATATTATGCACACACTGCCACTGCCTCACCTCAATGTCTGCACTGTGCTCTCATCCATATGTCCCCAACAAAGTTTTCAAGTAGAGTATTTTGGCAATGCATTTAATGTTTGAATCTTTACAGCTCACTGTGTATATTAGACCCGATATGACACCTGAAGGAATAGGTCACAGAAAAAAATTCCCTCATTATCTACTCACCACTATGCCAATGGAGGGGTGGGTGAACTGTTTGAGTCCACAAAACACTTCTGGAGTTTCAGGGGTAAACAGAGTTGCAGCCAAATCCAATACAATTTAAGTAACTGGTGATCAATGCTTCAAACGTAAACGTAAAAAAATAAAAACACCACACACACTGCATGGCTACTTCCGCTAGCATCACTTAGGCTCGAATTTAAATAACGGGTCTTCAGAACAATCGGATGACACCACGTGAGCAGTATGGAGGCATGTCATGTTTTTTCCCGTTCTTTTATAACGTCACTTTGGCTGCAAATCTGTCTAAAACTGTTTTCTGGACTCAAACACTTCACCCACCCCTTCACCTGCATAGTGGTGGGTAGATAATGAGTGACTGTCCCTTTAACATATGATCAGATAGCAAGGTCAAGCCGTTTGTTTTCAAGAAATCAGTCCCAATAGATGGAGCCTGGGTGATTTTTGAAATTAACAAAAAAAAGGAGCATGTTTGGGTGCAGCTTTTCTCTCTCTTCTCTATCAATAATCACAATCAAGATTATGTCATGTTTTTCTGTGCAATCATTAAGCACTTCATATTAAAGAGGAGGGAGTGTTTGTGCTCAAAGGACTGTGTTTCTCATTAAGAGGGCAAGACCTAGCTCATTAAAAGGTCTACTGTAGTTTCTGCTTCAGATAAGTATACTGTCTCATAAAGTGTTGTTTTCTTATTACAACCAATTAATTTGATACCACTTAAATTAAGTCATGTTATTAAGGAAGCCCTCGGTTCAAGTATACCATCTTGTTTCTTCCTTTCTGCACAAATATTTGTATTACTGCCAACAAAGAGGTGATGTTTTTGTCTCCATTTGTTTGTGTTTTGTCAGCAGTATTGTACTAAAACAAAAAACTAAAATTTCTACATTTTCACTATTTCTCAGAGAATATTTTATGGATTTTGATGAAAAAAATTAGACATGTCAGGCAATATCATGTGACTGATATTTATGAGTGTGAGCAATTTGGTGCAGATCCAAATAAAAATCTAGATGTAGTTAATGTGTTTTCAAAAGGAAGCTTTTTAGCCTTGTTTGTAAGTTATAGTAATTTTGTGGAGGGGTGGGGCACAACCCTAGGAAGAACCCATTACATTTTGTTGCAGATCCAGATCCAAGGTTGGATGTATTCACTTGTGTGCTTCTGACATTTTCACTGATTTCTCAGCAAATAACTTTTTTAATCTTGATGAAAAATTAGGCGTAAGTAGAGTACTGATATTTACATAGCACGATTAACTTTAAGGGGAATGTAGGCAGACGTTTGTGCTCTTCTGAATGCCGTTCTCGTTGATTCCTTATTGATTCTTATCCATTGACAAGGATTGAGGATCAATTTATCAAAATTGACTCCAGTTCCAGATTTGGTTATTAAATCCAAATCCTTTCAAATACCTTCTAAAGTGTGTATGCAGTTTGTATTGGTGTAGAATGAAGACAGCTTATTTAAAGTAAGTACCATTGTCATTTCCCTCAGTGCAGAGATCAGAAATCATCATCAAATCCAAGAACCAACTTGTACCGATGTCCAAAATGAACCCTTCGCTCCTGCTGACATGACTACAGTATATATACATGCATTTTTACTTTATCCCGTGTGGTCAAACCCACTTATGTACAAAGACACTCACCACCCAGCACCATCCCCCACTGAGTGGGTTGAGTGGCACATGACCAGGAGTAGGTGCCCCTGGTTCAGTGAAGTCTGCCTCGAGTCTTGGCTGTGCAGATGCACGTGTTCGGTGCCTGTGGTGGGGCTGTTGTACATGGCAGGGATTAGTTCTACATCATGTGTTCCACTCCCGCTTTTCCCCTTCATGTGGTTACAGGAGGAAAAGACTTTGACTGAGAAGAAGAGTTTTGTGGCTTGAGTTGTCATGCAGTGTGCCTGGTCACTTTGAGTTCATGATCAGGCTCATACATACACTACATTGAATGCAGCAGGGCCTGTTCTGAGATAGGTGGGTGGTTCATTTGTAATGGAACCACGCTTAACTCTTACTAGTCAGTGCTGTTTAGACAGCTTGTACAGTAGCAGATAATGAGTGCACAGCCGGGGGGGAGGTTGCACTGACCCTCAGATGCAGGGGTCAAGTATGGGGCACGTCAACCACATACCTGATACACACATGAATGCATATCTCAAGTTGTTTTGGTTCTAAATATCTTGGTTATACAACCACAGGTGAGTAGTGTCTGTACATGGGTGTAATGTTTTAACCTTGTAGGCTTTTTGGTGAAGGAACAAGCCTATCTTCTCTCACTGTCTGTCTATTGGAAAGAGTTGATGATGATGATGATGATGATGATGGAGAAAAGATGCCAAGTCTGTGCAGATGTTGAGTTCCCAGCAGTAAATGTTTGCAATCATCGATCCAGATGTTTTCACCAAATATGAAGAGTCTCAGCCAAAAGCACACTTAAACACACACACACATCTTAGAACATTTAGATGACCGATTTAGATATAGTACGCAAGCTCTAGCAGGTGCTGGGAGACAGATAGATGAAGACGTGTAGTAAGTAATGTGGTGGGTGCTGTGTTTGTGCGGAGTACATGTCTAATCGGGGCCGGCTGGATCAGCGGGAGCGTTATTGCCCGTGCTATCTCTGAGCAGATGGCCTAGTTGAGCCTTATCACAGATGTTTGGGAGATTGAAGTGCTGCTGAGGCACAGCAAGAACGAAGCCAAGAGTTCCCACTTCATTTAAATGCCTTCAAGTGCACAGCTCTCCACGGACGAGTCTATGTCAATCACCCTAATATGTTCAAGACAGGACTCTGTAAATGCATGTTGTTAGAGGCGTACTTTCTTAAAGCATTAATCTCCCCTAATTCT